AACGTCTAAATGCCTAGAATATCAAGATAGTTCGGAAGTCACTGCCGCTATCACATTTTAGTGATGTTACTGAACGTGGAGTTCACCATGCCTTTTGTTTCCAAGCTGTTTGATGTAATTTTACTACCTGACAGCACACTGAAATAATCAAGAGAAAAAGTGCTTTGCAAGCATCACTCGGTGAAATAATGACATTTATTAATCACGAGCTGTAAAGAGTCAAAAATGGCCTGATTTACCTTATTTTACCTGATTTTCTTGATTTTCGTCAGGAAAATCAGGTAAAATCAGGTAAATCTGATCTTCGTGGTTATTACCTGATTTTCGTCAAAAAGCAAGGTTTTGCCGAAACCTCGAAGGCGTGCCTGCATCATGTCGTACTGAATTCGTTTCTTAACCTAAAAACAATTGCGCTCAAAAAATCGGGATCTATTACAGAATATGGACAGAATTTTTCATTCCTGGCTGATACTGCAAGCAGTTTCGAAGTTTTTCTGTTCCTCGGAAGAATGAGGAAAAACAGTTAGTGAATTTTTATGAAATAAAGCCAACTTCTTCTGCTTTTGCTCGATCAGCGCCACTAGATGCAGAGCCTTTGATTAGGGCCACAACAATGGCCAGACCACGACCAGCTTTCAGCTGACCGGCCAAGTTGATCAAATTCACGTATCGCATATCGATGATACTTTTCGACCAGGCGCCGTACATCAAAACAAGTAGCTGCGGCCTGTAAATAACACTGCAACTAGTAATTTTTCACAGCAACAGCACTGAAGATTTTTGAGAAACACGATTAAATTTTTCCTTATTTTAATTTATGGAGTTATATTTTAAAACACATGTACACCTATGGCTCTGTTCTCCAGCCCTTCATATATTGCCATTTTTTTCCTTTTCCTTAGTGTTTTTCATCTTCGCTTGCTAATTACCGCTTATCATTTATTGTTTGGCTCCACGGTGGAGACGAAGACTGTGAAGACATTTTTAGTCCAGATATACTAAATGTGTCGATCTTGTAGTAACAACTATCAGCGATATCATATAGAATATTTAATGGACAAAATGCTGGAATGCCAGCAAATTTTGTTGCAAAGAAAGATATTACGAAAGAATTCCTTCTGTGAGGTGTGGTCTGAGAGGGTAACAAGTCTCCCGACATTATTCTTTCCGGATCTTTCGAATCATGTCATGTTATCCAATGCAATACCTGTTTTCAATCTTCACAGTTGCAATATGTCACCTTTTTTAATGCTCGTTTTCACGGGGGCGAACAAATGGCACACTTTCAAAGTGAAAGCCAGAAGCTTTTGAAATTTGGTCTAAAATTTTGAAATGCTTCAAAAAATGTAGCACTCTTTTCTGCGCACAATCTGGTAAAAACGAAGTTCCTTCTCTACATAAG